CCGACGCCAGGACACGCGAGCTCCGTCTCGTCCGATCACTAAAGCTAACTGCCTCGCCCGATCTCACGGCGCGCACCGACGCTAGGATCCGCAAGCTCCGTCTCACCCGATCCCCAAAACTAACCGCCTCGGCTGCGCAACGACGCCTTGGTTGATGACTCCGTCTCAACTAAGAAACACGCACACACGCCCGCTGACAACAACACCTAGATGATTTTGCCCAAATCGATCGGGGGCTCGGGGGCTACACCCGTGGGTGCGCTCGCGCATACCCGCTGATGAAATGAAAACCTCCCCCGCTGACAACACAAAAAAAACCCTAGACGATTCTGCCTTAATCGCCCGGGGGCTCGGGGGCTACACCCACGGGTGCGCTCGCGCGCACCCGCCGTCAAGACAAAAATCCCCTAGGCGATTCTACCCGAATCGCCCGGGGGCTTGGGGCTCCTGTTGGGTTTATAAACCTAGGGTCCCTCACGGACCGGCTGCCCAATAGAGGCTCGGCCCAGCAGGCAACGTTGCAAACAACGCACAACTCGTGGGCCAGCCCAAGTATCTAAACGATAGGCCAGAAGGGCAATCCAATCACCGACCGGAAGGCCTGGCCGAGGAGGAACGGCGCCCATTTTCTGACTCCGGCCCACCTCTCCGACCGGAGCGGTCGCTTCGGTCTCCAGCCCGCCTTTGGATGGCCTCTCCGACCGGAAGTCCTGGCCAAAGCACTATTTCCGACTCCGACTGGGGATACACCAAACCCCTGCTCACTGTTCTTCTCCGACTGGCACATTTAGAGCCGACTGGGACTAACCGACCGGGGACGCCTGCTCGGTAAGGACCAGGGAACGGATGGGAAAGTAAGGCAGGGCGCACAAGTCAAACCGCAATACCAGGGACCATACCCTGTGCACCTACCAGGCAGTACCTTGTGACCCTCCTGGCACGACAGAACCCAAGCAGTGTTGTAGGCACCGACATTTTCCCCTACCGTATTGTGGGCGCCATTAACTCCCATACGGTAAGGCTCCCCCACATGCCTCTGGGCATCAACAGTGTTGTGGGCGTTGGTATTTATCGTACCAGGCGAACATGGTAAAACCCTTGCATGCCTCCAGGTATCAACAGTGTGGCAGGTGTCGACGTCTGCCATACCCGAAGAAAACAACACAACCTCCCACATGCATCTGACATCCAACAGTGTTGTGGGCGCCTACCATCATCCTGTACCCGCCGGCATGGGCAACAAGGCTTAGAAGCATACGTACTCTCTCCCTCTCACTTGTAAGGCCATCCCCTTCATCTATAAAAAGGAATGCGCTCTCTCCCAACATTCAGGTTGATTCAGAATCATTAGATCGATCAAGTTCACTAGTACACAACCACAGAATCGCCAGGTTCGAACCACAACCACACGCTTGAACCCTTAGTTTATAGCGGGGCTCCCGTCACTCTCGGCCCTTCTGACCGAAGTCCGATCGGACCTCTTGTACCCCCATCTTTCTCCTTCTCGTTTGTAATCCCACTACAAACTTCAAGCATCTTGGCTCAGAAATAAAGTCACCGACCGACTCAAACTGGACGTAGGGCACGTTGCCTGAACCAGTATAAACCCTGTGTCATTGAGTGCTAGGCCACCTCCGATCACAACATACGACAAAACTACACATATTTACGTGTTGGTCACTTTCTGCACCGACACTATACGTGTCCTCTTCATCGGACTTGGCTACCTTGCAAGGATCGCCGCAAAAGCACATGGGCACTAGAACACCACTAGGCAGAGGCAACGGGTCGAAGGCATTTCCGGTCATCCGGCCATAACTACAATTGAACCAAATTTGTTCTAAGAACCGAAAGCAATGAACATTAAACCCTAAACCTAGGGTTTTTCTATTTGCTGCACATAAATGAAAACATAATATAACACGATGATAAGAGATTACCTTGGCTTACTAGCTTTACCACACCTTGGCATCCTACCATTACAAAATACAAAAAATAAAAAATCACTTTAAACATTAGGTAATAACGTATCTAGGGTTGCAAAATAGACATAATATATACCAAATCAATGCGTAAAAAATGATAAGGGGAGAGAGGATACCTTGCTCGTGAAGATGTATGGATCAAATCCAAGTATCCAAGGTCAAATTCGTCGATTCAAGAGATTGGACGGGTTAGGGAGAGGAAGAAACCAAGAGGGAGGAGAAAGAAATGAGAGCAGCCTCGGCAAGGGAAACTTGGTCGTGGGTTTTGAATGCATGCTCGGCGCCAGAATACATGGCTCCGAGGTCGGCGACAAGATCTGTTGCGCCGAGCTCAGCGCCATGTATTCTGGCGTCGAGGTTCCGGCCATGTCAACGCCACCTAGGATGCCCTACTGTGCACGGACAGGCACCTCGGAGCCAAGATCTGTGGCGCCGACCCCCAGGGTCCAAAGATGAGTTTACATCTCCCAGGGGGGCAAACGTTAATTTTCTTCAAAAAAAGGGCCAAATTATAAAAAATTGGGCCGCCTGCCGTAAAAAGTTTGTTACACTAGCCGCCTCCTCCTCAATCTCTGCTTTATTTGATTTCGCTGCATGCGTCGTTAGTTGCTTCCACATTTACTTCTACACTGTTTTCATAAGTCACAATGAAAAATCCACTAGGAATCATTGCCCTTTTATTTCCCACATTTCCTACGTTTCAGTCTTCTGGTTTTTGGGCAACGTTCACATGACGCGCGCGACTTCCTCCCTGCGCTTGTCTTCCTTCCCTCCGGCATAACGTGGACAGGCGGCGGCGGTGGTGGCGGATCTCTAGAGACCTTAGATAATAAAGGAGGGGCCCTGGGGCGACCGGCCGGACAGGCGGTGGTGGCGAGCGAGGCGCCTAGGAGCCGCCGAGGGGACATGGTAGGACTCATCTGGATGGGAAGTGCCAGCGGCGGGGGCAAGGGCGAGGGCTCGACAACGAATTCGAGGGATTGGGATTAGGGGAGGGCGAGGTCAGCACAGTGGCGGCGGTTGGTGGGCAGTGTGGGAGCCATGGGCCAGGGCGGTGGGAGCGGGCTGGTGTGGACACGAGAAGGAAGAGAAACCGTGCACGGATTGGGATTAGGGGAGGATGGGGTTGGCACGGTGGCGGCGGTTGGTGGGTGGTGCGGCGGCGGCGGGGAGCCGCTAGCCAAGCCGGCGGGGGGAGGTCCGCAGTGGGAGCAGCCTGGTGCGGTCGTGTGAGGAAGAAGATAAATAGTGCGCGATCAAATCGGAGCATTCGTTTCGTATCCAATGGCTGTCGATCGTCGCCCAAAAAGAACACAAAAATCAACCGCATGAAGAATAGCAATAGCAATTCCCTTTATTTCCGTCCCTAATAATCCATACTTGCATGTATGACCCGATTTCTTCATTTCATACTTAGCGTAATGAATGGGCCAGCAATGTGGGCCCATGTGCTCCCCTCTCTTCTTCGCTCGAACTACCCCTTCAATTTACACTAGCAATAGCAAATATGACTATACGTACAAAGGTAGCGTAGCATCCTCTCTACGCACCATCCCTCAGCTTGCTTTTCAGCTTGCATTTTTTTTCTGACGAGGATGAGAGAGAAACACGAAAAACCGGTCGTTAGCGAAGAACTCACTAAGCTCACACCGTTTCTCATGAAACGTACCATCTCTGCCCTCATGGCCCACAGCCATTAGCTATGGCAAATATTTTATTTTTTGTTCACACTCGTCAGCTGGCGATTTACACAGAGTTTTTGGAGGACACCTTCACACTCGGTCATATAATATAATCTGTGCCCACTGTATATTATTATCTCGTTTAGAGATGGCAACGGGTAGTTCCCCACTAGGGCATAGGTCCCAACTCCCAAGCCCCGTCCACGCGGCTATATAAACTTTCTCCATCCGCGTGAAGAATGCCTTCAGGCCGGACAAGTTTTTTCCCCATCCCACCACCGCACGGGGAATTAATCCCCGTGGGATTCCTCGTCCACGCATAAACAACATCTCAGATGAAATGTCGCAGCCACTGAAAAGTCAGCAACACATAACATACACACTTGCTCGTAGGTAGTCCAGCGCACAGTGATAAGAGCATCTCCGACAGACTCTCCGTATCCTTCCTAAATGCTAGAATAGGGATTTTGGTAAAAAACTACTCTGCAACAACTTTTCTAAATGGTCATCCAAATATAGACATCTTCTATTCTGGATTTTTTGCTAGCCAAAAATAGAAGACGATAATGACTGTCTAGAGTGCGCATGAGATATAGAAAACCCGTTGGAGAGTGAAAAAGATATAAAAAACGATTTTTATGTAAATTGCTCTCCAATTGATGGTTCAGAGAGTGAGATTTAGGGGGCTGTTTGGATGAACTATGACTAACAACTAGTCTTATTAGCTCCTATGAGTGAACTAGTGAACTAACAATTAGTCCATAACTAGTGGACTAAGAATTAGTCTGCTTGTTTGAATACTTAGAGACTAAAAATTAGTCACTGGTTGTTAGCTCTATAGATCTAAACAGAGCTTTAGAAAAGGCTCTTGGAGATGCTCTCACAACGCAACAACACTTCCTCGATATATGGCTATACAGAATTTGTGTTACAATGAAAATGCATTAAAAATAAACAAAAGTATTTGCAAAAATATCATTTCAACTAAAAAAACTAATATTCGAGGGAGCACCTTACTAGTTTTATTAAAAAAGAAAAGATAAAAGAAAAAGAGAAGCTGCTACAAGCAAAGATTAGGGAAGAAAGAATATAGGAAGGAGCCGCCGTACCTAATTTTAGCGTAATTAAGAAAGAATATAGTAAGGGATATATCATAACTAAATAACTAATCATTTAATAATTAAAGAGAGAAGAAGCTTTGCTCTAGCATCACCCGCGCGAAATGCTCTCTGCCGCAGCCGCACCACCGTACCTGTTCCGCTCTCGCTGCCTTGTTCTTCGTCGCGGAACGAATTGAAACGAAGAAGAAATTGATCGATCGTCGTCGGCGGCCATGGATTGCTCCATGACGAGCAGCATCCTGTCGGCCAACTACAACACGATCCTGTTCGAGTTCGGTGTCATCCTGGTGAGCAGCAAGGTCCTGTACGCGCTGCTCCGCAAAGTGTACCAGCCGCGCGTCTTCTCCGACCTGCTGCTCGGCATCATCCTTGCGCAGTTCCGCGTGCTCTCCCTCACCAACGCCATCAACCTCGTCTTCGGCAAGATCGGCGGCTTCGTCTTCGCGCCCTACCTCTTCGCGCTCGGCGTCGAGATGGACCCCACCACGCTCCTGGACGCCCCCACCGGCGACTCCGTCGTCGCCTACGCCGGCATCCTCTCCACCTGCGTCCTCGTCACGCTCTTCCACATGCCGCTCATGCAGGCCACCTCGGGAGTCGTCCACGAGCGGTCCCTCCGATCCTTCCTCGGCCTCGCCGCCGTGCTCGCCAACACCGCCTCGCCCGTCCTCACCCGCCTCACCACCGACCTCAAGATCGCCAAGACCGCCGTGGGCCGCCTCGCCGTGGGCGCCGGCCTCGCCTCCGACATGCTCACCACCATGCTCATCGCCGTGGGCAGCATGATCTGGCGCGACACGGGCGTGGACGGCCGCGAGTCCAACGACTCCCCGATCGTGCAGCCGGTGCTCACGGCCGCCGTGCTCGTCGTCGTCATCGTGTCCGCCTTCGTGTCCAGGGCCATGGCCGAGTGGGTGGGCTCGCGCAACCCGGAGGGCCGCCGCATGCGGGGCTTCGACCTCTCCCTCGTGGCGCTCGCCGCCGCCGCGCTCTGCTGGCTCAGCTCCGCGCTGCGCCTCAACGTGAACATGGCGGCGTTCCTGGTGGGGCTGGCGTTCCCCAGCGAGGGCCGGGTGTCGAGGCTGCTGGTGAGCAAGACCAACTTCGTGCTCAGCTCCTTCGTGCTGCCGCTCTACGTCGCCCACGTCTGCCTGTCGCTGCGACAGACCACCGACGACATCGAGGTGGCGGGGCTCACGCGGGACGACGGCTTCCGTGCCTACGTCATGGAGCTGCCGTTCCCGTGGTGGAAGGTCTTCTTCGTCACCGTCATGGGGACGCTCGGGAAGCTCACCGGGTGCGCGGCGGCGGGGCTCCTCCGGGGGCTGGGGATGCTGGAGGCGCTGGCGCTGGGGATGCTGCTCAACGTCAAGGGGTACTTCCACCTCTACTGCGCGCAGGCGGCGTTCGACGCGGGCATCATCACGGACAAGTCGTTCATGGCCATCATCTTCATGGTGGCGCTCAACGTGGCGGTGACGCCCATGGTCGGGATGGGCATCGCGTCGTGGGCGCGGCGGAGCGTGCAGTGGCGGCTCATGGGGCTGCAGCACCACGACCCGTCGACGGAACTGCGCCTCGTGGTGGGGCTGCACGGCCCGCAGGACGTGCCGACGCTGTCCTACATCATGGAGGCGCTGCGGTGGGGCGGCGGCGCGGGAGGTGGCGGCGAGCTGGCCGTGTACGCCGTGGACATGGTGCAGATGACGGACCAGACGGCGGCGGCCATCGTGAAGGGCGGCGGATTCGACGGCGTGACCGTGGTGGACGAGGAGGTGTCGGAGATGCGGAAGCTCATCGGCGAGGCGCTGGACGCGTACCAGGCGGAGTGCGGCGGCGGTGCCAAGGTGAAGGTGCGGCGGCTGCTGGCGCTGTCGTCGTTCCCGGACATGCACAGCGACATGTGCATCTGCGCAGAGGACGCGATGGCGGCGCTGGTGCTGCTCCCGTTCCACAAGGCGCAGCGGGCGGACGGCAGCATGGAGCCGGGCCACCACGGCTTCCGGGTGGTCAACCAGAAGGTGCTGCAGCTGGCGCCGTGCTCGGTGGGGGTGGTGGTGGACCGAGGCCTCGGTGGGAAGCACGCCGCCGCCGTCGTCAGCGGCTCCAGCTCCCAGCAGTCCCAGACCCAGGCGGCGGCGGCCGTGGTGGTTGTGTTCATCGGCGGCGCGGACGACCGCGAGGCCCTGACGCTGGCGTCCCTGATGTCGAAGCACCCGGGCGTGCGTCTGACGGCGCTGCGCGTGGTGCAGAACGCGACGGCGCAGGCGCGCGCCAGGGCCCGGACGAGCCTGTTCGAGAGCAAGGGCAGCCGGCGCGGCGGCGGCGGCGGCGGCGGCATGATGGGCGCCCCGGCGTCGTCGGCGCTGGGGCAGGAGGAGGCGCAGATGCAGGTGGACGACAAGTTCTTCGCGGAGTTCTACCGGAAGCACGTGGCCGGGAGCAAGCAGCCGGGCGCCGCCGTGGCCGCCATCGGGTACCTGGAGAAGCACGTGGCGGACGGGGCGGAGCTGGTGGCGGTGCTCCGGGGCATGCAGGCGGACTACCGGCTCTTCATCGTGGGGCGCGGCAGGGACCGCAGCTCCGTGCTGACGGAGGGGCTGGACGAGTGGGCCGAGTGCCTGGAGCTGGGCCCCGTCGGCGACATCCTCGCGTCCTCCGACTTCTCCACCACCGCCTCCGTGCTCATCGTGCAGCAGTACGACGCCAAGAAGCACTACAAGGTCATCGACGAGGAGTTCATGCCCTTGTAGATACACCTACAACGTGACGTGACATACAACGTGTGCAGCATGCATATACAAACGTGTACTCGATCGTGAATGGAATTTAGGACATATTCTTGGACACACAAGTGATCGATCTCCTCTAGCCCTAGAATTGAAAGGGGTGTATCTTTTTCCCTTGCCCAGTGCCCAAGTCAAACGGAGCGACACACGTACGCACCAAAACGCTATGATCGGGAAATAAAATCACGGAATATGTCGCGCCAGATGCTAATTGCTAACACGTGTACGCATAGTAGGTTATGGCATCTATGGTACATCGAGTTTGTTACCGGTGGCGGTGGTCAGTTTTAATATTTCCATCCCCTTGCCGCACAATCATGCTACGCCGAACGGCCATACGTTGCCCCGTCGCTGTCGCGGATCGATAGAACCCTCGCGTCCGTACGACCCTTCGCTCTCAAGATCACCGCGCCCCATTAAACTAGTGCACGCCGCAGCGTCTTGTTTCTTTGCCTGATACTGTAATAAAGAATGCAGGATGGAGATCCGTAATTCCCGGTCCCCTTTGGCGATTCTGAGAGCGAACTCTCGCCCAGCCCCGTTCTAGACCGTCTCCTCGACGATCTGGACTGCTCCACCGGTGATCCCTTCGATTGCTGGTGTCCACGCCCCGCCAACGATCGCTGGTCGTTGCCGGCCTCCGCAAATCGTCGGTTAGCTGTCCTGGCGCCGCCGACCACATGGTTCCGTAGTAAGCGCCGCTTAGGGCTTCGCTGGGCTTTGCGATCGCGCCGGCACTCGCTGGCGTACTGATCGCTACTGTTTTTTCCTCTCTGATCCTGTTGCCTTGATGGCGTCGGACGGGGGTGGAAGTAAGGGGACCGGGAAGGCTCCTTTTGGCGGGGATGGAAACCCTAGTCCGAGTGTTTCTAATCTTCTAAAGCGCCTTAATCTAACAGAGGAAGAAGGAGCGGTAGTAGATTTCAGTGATGATGAGGAGATTGATGATCTCCCTCCGACGGAGTGGGCAGTGGTGGGGAAGGTTCTCTCACCCATGGCAGTACACATCAATACGATCCAGGCGGCGATGAAGCCAGCCTGGGGCAATCCTTTTGGCCTGAAGATCCGAGCTATAGGAGAGAGGGCGGACAACATGTTCGTCGCTGAGGTTGGTTCAAAGGCCGATATGGAGAGGATCCTTGCGGGGACCCCGTGGATGGTAGGAAGGGATGCAGTAGTTCTCAAGCCTTATGATGAAAGACTTAGTGCTGATGAAATCATCTTTGATCGCATGGAGATTTGGGTGCGCATCCTCAAGCTCCCGCTAGGTTGGATGAACCAGCAGCGGGGAACACGGGCCATGAGCCTGATCGGCCATGTTGTGAAAATGGACGTCGATGGAGATGGGAAGGCGAGCGGGGCCTTCCTGCGGGCTCGTGTTGCTATTGAGTTAGACAAGCCCCTTCGTCGGGGTGTGCTCCTGAGAATGAGCAAGACGGAGGAGCCAAAGTGGTTTGAGGAGTAGTATGAACGTCTTCCTTATTACTGCTTCTCATGTGGTCTAATGGGTCACTCAGAGATCGATTGCCCACACCCAGCACCACGTAATGAGTTTGGCAAACTACCTTATGATGTCCCTCTGAGAGCACCAGAGGAACGTAGGAGAAGAGTACAGTCCTTCGCGGGAGCTGCAGCTGAGTCCTTTGGTAGCGGCTCCTCGACGTACAGGCCATCCAATGATCATTGTCGTTCTAGTGTTGACCGATCGTCTCTGGGAGACGAATCCCGGTTCTCAGCTTCAGAACCAGTGGAAAATCTAGAAGAAAGAGAAGTTCAGTCACCGTTGAAAAAGAGGAATACAGAGGGAACTGCAGGGAAAGGCCAGCCGGTCATGGAGGAAACAAATACCAGGCTACCCCAGAAACGCAAGTCGAAGGGGGCTGGCCAAAACCTGCAGACCCCAGACCTTAATGTACCGGCTGAGGCTTCTAATGTCATTGTTCTGGTAGGCCTTGTGAGTTCAAGATTGAACCAGCTAGATGGAGGTTCCGAAAAAAGCGGTGAGAGTATGGTGGAAATGCTGAAGAAGCAGAAGAGAGGCACAACTTCACAAAATGCACGATCGGCGGCGGCTGCAAGTGGCAGTCCCCGTCGAGCACAATGAAAATATTAAGCTTGAACTGATGGGGTTTAGGGCAACCCGAGGCAGTTCGCGACCTCCGTAGCCTTTGTGAGCTACATCGCCCGGTGGTGGTTTTCTTGTCTGAGACTCGTTTCTTCTCGGATAGGGTGGATGTTTTGTTAAGATCACTTGGTTTTGCGCATGGTTTAGGCGTGGGAACCAATGGAAGAGGTGGCGGACTTGCACTGTTGTGGAAAGATGAAGTTTGTGTAAAGCTCCAAAGTCTTGACAAGCTTCATATAGATGTGGCGGTGCTTGATCCAATGATAAACGGGGAAAAGTGGCGCTTCACTGGTTTCTATGGTGAGGCGAGGAGAGAGTTAAGATATAGGAGATGGGATTGTCTTAAGATGCTCAAGGGTCGCAGCTCACTGCCATGGCTCTGTGTAGGGGATTTCAATGAGACTTTGCATGCCAATGAGCAATTTGGGGGTGCTGGAAGAAGTGAACGGCAGATGGAGGGTTTCCGAGAAGCAGTAGCAGTGTGTGGCTTCACGGACCTAGGCTTCATTGGTCTACCATACACCTGGGACAACCGGCAAGATGATGCTCACAACATAAAGGTTAGGTTGGACCGGGGGTTGGCAAATGATGACTTTCTTGACTTGTTCCACGAAGTTAAGGTCTGGCATGTTCAAACGACAATATCATACCACTGTGCACTGGTGGTAGAATGCTTGGAACACTCCTTGAACAGGAGAAGACGAAAGCGAAATTTTCGCTATGAAAACATGTGGCAGCGTGACCCTTCTTACATGGCTCTTATTCGTGATGCTTGGTCATCGAATGGAGGAGCTACTGGATTGGGAGACATGCACACAAAGCTGAAAGGTGTGCAGTCCTCGCTATAGACCTGGGAGCAGGACGTCTTTGGCTCGGTGCGGAAGGCGTTGGCAACTCTTAGGCGTGAGCTGGAGGAAGTCCGAGGGCAATCGCTGGGCTCGGGCCCTTCTAGACACGAGCGACAAATTATGGCGCGGATGTCTGAAATGCTATCAAGAGAAGAAATTATGGAAAGGCAGAGAGCGCGTCTTGATTGGCTTAAGGATGGAGATCGCAATACGGCGATGTTTCAAGCCAAGTCACGAGCACGGGCCAAGAGGAATAAAATTATGGCTCTACGAAGAGAAGATGGGTCGATGGCAACGGAGCAGGCGGAAATAGAGGAGATCGCTACTAACTACTACCGCCAGCTCTTCTCGGCTCAGGAAGAGTTGTTGCCGGACCTGGTGCTTGATCACATGTTTCCCAAGGTCTCGACTGAGATGAATGACCGGCTGCTACGTCCCTACTCAGCTGCGGAGGTTGAGCAAGCTTTGCAACTTATGAAGCCGAGCAAAGCCCCAGGGCCAGATGGATTTACAGCTGGCTTTTACCAGTTACACTGGGATTTGATGGGCAACGAGATCACAACAGCGGTGTTGGATTTTCTCAATGGTGGAGGTATGCCGAATGATATTAACCTTACTACCATTATTTTAATTCCCAAGACAAGAAATCCTCAGGTTATGAAAGAATTTAGACCTATTTCTTTATGTAATGTTCTGTACAAGTTATGCTCAAAGGTTCTGGCTATGAGAATGCGTGAATTCTTAGATGATATTATTGTAGAAGAGCAGAGCGCCTTTGTGCCTGGACGCTTGATAACAGACAATGTACTCATAGCTTATGAGTGCATCCATTATCTGAAAAGGAAGAAAGGGAAATCTAGAGCGTGTGCTGTGAAATTGGACATGGCCAAGGCGTATGATCGTGTAGAGTGGGAGTATCTTAGAAGGATCATTCTAAAACTTGGTTTTCATGCTGATTTTGTGAACCGTATTATGAGGTGTGTAACAACAGTTTGTTTCACTATCAAAATCAATGGCGTATTGACTGATACCTTCAGATCATCTAGAGGAATCAGGCAAGGGGACCCCATTTCCCCATACCTATTCTTGCTATGCTCTGAGGGTTTATCTTGTATGTTGAAAGCTGTTGGTCCAGTGTACATATCAAGGGGTATAAGAGTTGGAGTTCACTCCCCCTGGATATCGCACCTGCTCTTTGCGGATGACTGCATAGTATTTTCTGAAGCATCGCAAGGAGGGGCTGACAGACTGGTAGAGATTCTGGACAGATATCATCGTGGATCCGGACAGTTGGTAAATCAGGATAAATCAGCCATATTCGTCAGCAAAAACTGTCCTGCGGAAATGAAGCAAGTGGTCAGTCAGAGGCTTGATATCCAAAAGGAAGCCCTGGTTGAACGCTATCTGGGACTACCCACGGAGGCAGGAAGAAATTTGAGCGACTGTTTTGAATACCTGCCATCCCAGGTGAAAGGTAGAATTGAAAGTTGGTGCGGACGTGAGGCAAGTTGTGCAGGTAGAGAGGTTTTGATTAAATCAATTGCCTAGGCGGTACCCACTTATTCTATGAGTTGCTTTCTTCTACCTCTCAATATATGCAACAAGATGAGAAGTGTTATGGCCAATTATTGGTGGGGTAGCTCTGCTGATAACCGGACATGCATTGGATGAGTTGGGAGCGTCTTAATCAACCGAAACACAAAGGAGGCATGGGTTTTCGGGACATGAGGAGTTTCAACTTGGCAATGCTTGGAAAGCAAGGTTGGCGCCTCATCACGAGACCAAACTCACTTTGTGCGAGAGTTCTTAAAGGGCGCTATTATCATGACACGGAGTTCTTGAGGACTACTGAAAAAAAGCAGCGAAAGCGATGACGTGGAGGCGATCCTAGCGGTCGAAACGTACTACAACGGGTCTCGATCGGAAGGGTGGTCGATGGAGATTCTCTTTGTTATTTGGGGTGATCGATGGATAGCGGACCACTTTGATGC